GTGTGTGTGTGTGTGTGTGTGTGTCTGTGTGTGTGTGTGTGTGAGTGTGTGAGTGTGTGGTTGATTTCTACATGCATATCGAAGGATGTGTAACTGTTCATGTGTTGAACAGGGAAGTGAAGTTTCTTTCAGTGAGGATGGGTTCAAATCACCGAACAGAAAACAAAGAAACTAAAAATCAATTGAAAACTCTGAACAGGTGCGTTCATAAATATTTTAACTTGAAGGAAATAAGTGTGATTCGTTGACGATTGTTAGGATTTATGCTGATTTAGAGAAAAGCATCTCTTTTTCTTGAAGGAACCACTATTTTTCACCAGCTGTGGCGGCCATCTTGAATAGTCCAAAGATGAAATAGAGGCTGTGTCCAAAACGGCAGGACGGGTCCTCCGAAGGCCGAATTCGTCGGCCGCATACGTCACAGCGCCGCGACGAAGGACGTCCAAAACCAAAGACTCCTCCGATGCTTCTGACAAATATGTCCTTCCTTTTCCCCGAATCGAAGGACAGGTCYGATGGATCCTTCCCGGCCCAGCATATCCCATAATGCATTGCGGCCAGACCGGAGATTTTTTTATGCAAGTAATGGCGGACGAAGCGAGAGAAAAGAATACGTTTTAAATAAAAATATGGTGATATAAAAATTTAAAATAAATTAGCGGTTGTAATTCTAATACTTTTATCATTTGTATGGACATGTTTTTAAATATTATTTTTGTCATAAAAAACGTGAAATAAACACGCACCAACAGCGGGTCAATTAGTTCTTCAAATGTTACCTTTAAATTAATTTTATAGTTTTGTGATATTAATAATGCTAACATATTGATATTTTTCTAGTTTTGATTTAAGTTTGCTTGTTTAGCGTCGTCACAGTTGCTAGGTGACAAGGCGTATGCCGGGGTAAGGAGGGGAGGCTAGACCGTCCAAATTCACAGTCTCTTTTTTTCCGGTCTTCACGGTCTACTAAGGGCCCGGCCCGCCGAGACCGGGTAGTCTGGGTCCTCCGGAGGACCCGGCCTGTCGTTTTGGACACAGCCAGAATCTCAGTTCAGATGTTGCAGACGATGTCGGCCATATTTGTTGGCAGTTTACAGCCACTGCCTCGTGCTGTAGGGCTGTCTCAATTCATAGGTGTTAGGGTTGGGCAACATAGCATCCTGTGCAATTCATCATCAGAAAAACAGTAATTGATTATTTTTTTGACGATTAATATGATT